ATATATATATATATATACAAATAAAAAATAATTGTGATAAAAATAAGCTAATTTTTTTAAGAATAAATAAAATTTAAATATTGAACAATAATTTGACATTACAGAGTATTTATTTGTTCATTAATATACGCACGTTAAGCTTATTTTGGATTATACATTTACTTCATACAAATGAATGTCTGAATGTCTGTGATTTGAATCCACAAATTTGTTTTTAAGATTTAATTAGGCCATGCTGTCGACACATTTTTCACATAACCATAATTGTTTAATATTACCTTTTTATTGCTGTACATTTTTTATACCTAATCTTATATTATTTTGTAATTTTGGATACCAATTACTTTTTAACATTCAACTTTGTATGCTTAGCGCCCGCTCTCTTTTATCTATGACATTGTTGGTTAAATATACGTAAACAATTATTAATAATAACTATTGTTAATTGCTATACAATTAGTAAACAACCAGTGCCATGGCCGGGTTTGATAAAATATAGCCGGGGCCAGGGTAGGATTTGTAACTAGGGCTGCATAAACATTTATACATCCTAAAGTGTATTTTTTCATTTAAAACTCATGTTATATTTTTTATCATATGCATATATAAATAATATGCATATATAAACATCATTATGATCAACATAATCATTACCACCATCATTACCATCATCATTATAATCATGATCATCATCTGATCATCTTCTCTTTCGGCAAATACCACAATATAAATACTAAAGTTTATATAAATATGAAAGGATATTATATGCCAGCATTTAATATACAGCAAACATGTATGTTTATATCCATAATATGTATGCATAAAGCACATCTTAGAAGCTTTTATTTATTCTGGAATAAAGTTTAAAAGTTTATATTCCTTCTCTTTGATTTCAAGTCAAGCGTCATTCTACTCCGCATTATTCACCATCTTGGCCAGTTGCTTTATTAAACTTTAATCGTTTTTACAAGAACATCTCTTTTAAAAACAATTTTTTTTTTTATTACTCCAAAAGGGCAATGTAAAAAAGGTTCTGTTTGATGTTAAGCTATGCTATTCTTAGTTTACTAAATCTTATCTCAAATATTAGGTTCAAGGGAATTTTGGTTAGTCTTCATTGGTGTCATTAAATAAAGTAAGTCTAATATTTATTTAGAGTTATTTGCAAAGAAATCTTACTCTAATTTGAATGTTGAATCTAATGGCCATACTCTTACTGTCAGCTTAAACAGATTCACCCATTATAAAACATCTAAATCACTCTGGCTTCCAATCCTAAAGTTTAAAAACCTCTCTAGTTTGTGCTCAAGACAATATTTCCACCATAAAAATCTTCATGAAGTACACAAATTATTTAAATTATTAATTTTTTATTTAAAGAATTATAAGAAAATAAAAATTATTTTTTAAACATTTGCGTATTAAAAATACAAAACTTCAACACAAAAATTCAATTTTAAAAATGTTGCTGAGGTAAAGCCGAGGTAAATAATAGTTTTGGAGCCAAGCCAAAAGTTTGGATTTATTTCACTAAGTTCATTAGATCCATCATGCTCTAAATATACAGATTTGTAATTATCTCTAAAAATGAAGATTCTGTCATTGCTGGGTTCGCATGACTACAGGCCTTGCGATAAAGCGTCGGGCGATGTGAATTTTACGTCGTCCAAGAGCGATTTTGAGTATAGCTAGGGCTATTTGCATCGAGCGAAAAATTTTTTGTTTGAGTATATTTAAAGATATTTTTGAGCGGAACTTTAATGAAGTAATTTACTTTAATTATTTTAACATTTAATAAAGTATTTTAAAAACCGCACGCAGTTGAAATAACAGTTTGAATTAAAAAAAGTTAAATATGCTCATTATTTACAAGTAGAAAAAATTCAGATTAAAGAAAAAGTTTAAATCTTTTAAGCTAACATTTTAATAAAATTATTCAGCAATAGCAAAGTTGTTGATAAAATTAAACAAAAATAGTTTCTTTTAGTTTTAGATTTTATACTTAAATAATTATTTTACGGAGGTTTGTTAGGTTTTAAAATTATTCTATATATTTAAAAATATTTATTAACTGTTAGACGTATTTAAAGTATTTAAAAGTAATTTCGAGGAAACATTTTAAAAATTGGTAAGCGCAAATAAAAAAAAAAGGAATAATCTTAAAACGTATTTTACTTGATTCAATAAAAAAGTACAGTTATTAAAATTTTTGTAAAAAGTAACTCAAAAAAATTACTTAAATAATAACGATCGCTTTTATGTTAAAAGTTACCGAAACTCAACGAAGCGTGCTCAAGAACAGCTGCTGAAAAATAAAACGTCAATAGTTTTTCGAATAATTTTTAATAATAATTTTTAAGAATAATTTTTTCGCTGAAATATTTCTTTTATACCTATAAGATTTTTATTCTAACATTTTATTTTATTTTACTAGAAATAAAATTCCTTGTTAACATTAAAAATCTATTCAAAACGTTCGTTTAAGTTTTTTATTAATATGAGTGATTGTGCTTATCAACCGCTTTATGAAAATAAATAAAAATAAATAAATAAATATTATATAAAATCGCTTGTAAAAATATTAGCTATTGCACAGTTTTTAATCGTACAATATTAAAATTTCCAGTTTATTACTCGCTGACTTTTTAAAAAGAAAAAATAATTATTTGAAAAACTTTAAATTACATATTTAAGAAAAAAAAATCAAATACTAGCATATTTTATAATCTTTTTTAAATTTAAGTTGTAATGTTTTTTATTCGTTTAGTATAGACAAAACGTGACAAACATCGAGAAAATAAACAAATGTTTTTACATTTTAAAAAACGAAACATTCCAAAACATTTTTAAATAATAACATTTCTACTTAAGTAGTTTTGCGGTAATTAAGTAAATTGGTGCAGTTAATGTCGATAAATATGAAAAGCAAATAAAAAGAATTTAATGACGTCAAAAATCACGTCGTGCTTATGCGTCGCGCAGTTCTTATTCATCACAAGGCCTGTGACTACTATCGGAATGGTCATGCACCCCTGATGATTTCTACTATTTATTCTACTTTTTTATTAGTGGCAGTACACAGTAAGCCTCTAATTAAGGAGACTAATTTTTTTAAGTTACTTCCTTTTTTTCCTATAACTTATAAAGTTTGAAGGGCCGCACTAATTGCTTATGATATAGCTCTATTTTTTTATTTACAATGCTTATTTTTTTATGAATGCTAGAAAGTAGTTTTCGTTATAATAATGCGATTTACCTTGATCAGTTAGGATTTAAAAAGTGTTTCAAATAAGCAAAAAAGGTTGAAAAGATTGAAAGGTCAGTATATCTCAACAACCATGATATATTTATTTGCTGTTATTAAATAAGTTAATTGTGCTAAAAAACTGATTAGCATATATTTCTATTTTACTGAGGGTACCACAAAACATTGTGTTTGCTAAGAACTACAATTTGCCTAAATGATATCTTGTTTGAGCATTTAGTTAATCTCTTCAGTCAAAAATGGAGTATCTTCTGGAGACACTAGTAAAGTTGTTAAGGTTTAATTTTGTTTTTATACTGGATATTGAAGCGTTGAGTCTTACATAAGCTTTTAATTTAATATGAGCTATAAGTGATACATATGTAAGAAGTACTTAAGAAGTAGCTGTTGAATAGATGGATATAATTAAATATCGTTGGGGATAGTGCAAATCCATGTAACTAGCATTGGCTACTATATTTGGATATTATCAATTTTAACATCAAATATTTATTGTTGAGATTACAAAAAACATGAATAATACTCTTTATACTAAAATGAACCCAAAATCAGTTAAAATAAAAAATATATAAGGTTTTAAACTTCTCTAGTAAAAAAAATGTACTGTAGATACGCGGTTTTATCCAATGCTAGTTATGCGGTTTTGCACTATCCCTGATATATTTCTGCAATAAAAACATCCTATATGCAGCCCTCAGAATTGGCAATATATTGCCTTTTCTTCTGTCTTTCTCTGTTCTTTATTCCATTCTTCTATTCTTTTCAAGGGTCTTAGTCCCTAAGACCCTTGAAAATTAGGCAAGTTCTTGATATTATCAAATAAAAATTTCTTTAAAATTTTTAAAATTATTTTTAATTTTACTTTGAATTTTATTGAAGAAAAACTATGAGGATTCTTTAACATAAAAAATAAATATTTTTTATGATTTTTAATATAATTCATTTTTAAGAGAACTTTTATGAAATATAATTATTATTTTGAAATTTTATTTTTTAACTTTGCTTCTTTTAATACTGACAAGATTGAGAAACATTTAAAGAATTTATTTTTGAATAATATTAGAGACCCATCTAATATTCAAGAATCTTTAGCATCTTCTAATTATAATTTTTATAAACTATTTTTTGAAATTTAATGTCAGTTATTAAACATAATTAGAGGATGAGAGTAAACATTTCAAAAAAAATTGTTTAATATATTCAAGTATATAAGTAAAATACAAATCTATACATAAATATCATATAACATTTTAGAAACAATATCTTAGCCCCGCCTAATAAAACCTGCTAATTTGTTTATCCAAGGCCGGAGTTGTAAATAACTCTATTTTAAACTGGGGCTTAAGTTACTAAAATAAGTATAGATATAAGTTTTACTTCACACACCAACTGTTAGTTTAGAGATACTAGGGTATAGTTTTTGGTATGACATTGTCTCGATGACATTTAATGAACATTTAAGTACGCAATTATCTATTTAATTATATATTATTTAAACTAAAATTATAAAAGAATACATATATTATATATATATATATATATATATATATATATATATATATATATATATATATAAATATATATACACTAAAAGTAATATATTGTAATAATTTTTCACTACTTGTGTTGTGACAGTTAAGAATGTTCAAACTGTTGTCTTTCTTAAAGAATTACAAACATACTTTTGAAAAACACAAACAGCTTTAAATTTATTTAAACTCAATAATATTCTTACAACTTCCGATGCTCCTTTTTTAACTTTGGATCGATCTATCTTCATTTCGTTTTTTATTTCAAAATTGTTCTAATGCATTTCATTTCGTTTTCAATATGTATTTTACTAAAAAAAGAAATTCAATAAATTAAACGGACCAGCATCATTACATTTAAATACAAAAAAGCCTTTGACGCAACACTTGACAAATGCGCAGCGCAGAATTGAACCTTGAAGTCTCATGTAAAATTACCCCTGTCTTTTGGGTCCACTATGTGTTTGCCTCCATAATTAAATATTTTATCAAGCGGATGTTATATCAATTTCAAAAAAGATAAAACTGCGATTAATCGTGTTTTCGCAATCATCATGTTTTTAGAAAGGTTAGGTTAAACGAGACTAGTGTTAACGCGCGAAGTCTATAGTTGACACGGGATATTTTTAATTAACAACTATTTTAAATATCTATTGTTTCTAAATTGATGATACGAATTTGACATGTCTGTGAGTAAATATATATATATTTATATTTATTCATATAATTATGTATCCAAGTATTCGATTAATATTCTTACGCGATATCATATGATATAGTAGTAATAGCTATCTTAATCATAATACCATACGATAATCTTATTAAAACTCTCTCTTAAAATCTCTTTTACTATAGAAAATTATGTTTTTGTTCTAATTTATTTCTATATTTCATTTTTGAAATATCCTCTTTTATTGAATCTGCTTAAAATATAAATTATTTTTAATAACTAATCGTAAAACAAAATGTTTGTTTTCAATGGTAGTTGTAAACTACCATTGTAAATGTTGTAAACTACCATTTGAAAAATGCCATATTTTGTCCACAAAATTCTGATTTTTTTAATTATAAAGATAATAGATTAAAAATTGTTATAATGAGTATCCTTTTTAAACAAGATCATTTTGTTATAATTTATGTAATGACCAACTTTAATAGTATATGCCTGGGATTTATATGTAAAACAAAAAAATATAGTTTTTTTTCAAAACCTTTAAGTTTCTTTGAAATACTGTGCCATTTCTATCAAAATTCAATGATATTGAATTACTACGTTTTAAAATTATACAAATCATATTAATATATATTTACATATTTTAAAATCTAATAAAGTCAAATGTTTACAAAACTTTATTTTATAAATTCTCATTATTCATTCATAGGATTCTGGAAGCAGCCCTGAACGTAGTTCACATCGAGTTCATGGTGATGAAAGTCCTAGAACTGGTTTAGTTACCTCAAGTCCTGGTCGTGATGATCTTGCACCATTTGAAGATGAAACAGATGTTCTTCTAGGAAATGATCCTAATGAAGAAGAGGAAGGAGAAGGAGAAGAACTTTTTGGAGAAAATATGGAAGAGTACATATGATTTTTTTTTTTAATTATTGTCGTTAAAGGTTTTATATCAGTTTTCCTTCTAGGCAATTAATTGTTTATTACTTTATTTCTTGCTGCACTGTTTTATTATTTACTTGCCCATAAAATTAGTTATTGTTAAGGTCTGTTTAGAAATTTTAATGATTGCAAACAACTTTGAAAACAGAATTAATATTACTTATTTAAATCTATTCTTTACCAATCTGTGATTTAGACATATTTGTTTATTTATTTAGTAACTTAATGCTAGTTTAGTAAATTTTACAAAATAAATGTTTACTATTTAATAAGTTGATTATCCTTAAATGTGTTAAGTAGTTTTTTTGTTTTTGTTTTTGTTTTTTTTTAATTTTTTGGAGTCCAGTTAAACAAATTCACAAGCTATTTCATGGTATAGTTTCAAACCACACACAAACAATAACGTCTGCCCTGCTCTATTATATTGGTTACTTCTATGAAAATAACTAACTTGTCTAGTGTTATGTTGATGTAACTCACACTTTTTTAAATAGAACAGTTTAAAAATATTATTTTCAGTTGATGTAAATTTAAAAATCATTTTATTTTTTACAAATATATTGCAGGCTTTGTTTTGGGTTTTCTTTGTATAAGACTTTCATCTTGGTTATTTTAAAATGTTTTAATAAAAACAACTTGGTTTAAAATAAGTGGCATAGTTTGTATTAAACTTTTAATTAAATAATGAGGTACATGTGAGTGTGTGTTTATATATATATATATATATATATATATATATATATATATATATATATATATATATATATATATATATATATATATATATATATATATATATATATATAAATATATATATATATATATATACATATACATATACATATACATATACATACATACATATACAGGGCCTATACTAGGGAAAATATTTGCGCGGCGGTACTCCCTTGTCTTGGCATTCATATTCAGGCATTGCCCAAGTTTGAGGTCCTTTTTACCTAGAATAGGCCATTTTATTAATTTTAAAGGGATCCCTAAGGGGTTGTCCATAAATTACGACACACAATTTTTGACTGTTTTCACCCCACCCCCACCCCTCCCTCATCACAAAATCATAACACTTAAGAAGCGCATTTTAAATGAGTCTTTACAAAACCACCAAACCCCCCCTCCCTTATAGCGTGACGTAATTTATGGATGACCCCTAAGTGCTTCTAACATATGATCTCATGAAAGAGCATTAAAAAGAATATGTAAGTTTTTTTTTCTTTTTCACTAAATTGTAATAATAAATGCATGCTAACAAAAAGCAATTGCCGAAAGCACTGAAAAACAACTCCATTTTGATTTTATTTTTTTACCATTGAAACTCGATTGTTAGTCGTTAATAATCACGTTAGTATGCAGCCCTTGTTTTAAATAAAAAAAGTGCTTAATGCATTAGCTTAACGCAATTTTGACGTCATAAAATTATCTTTATTTTTTTTTATAGACGTTAAGTGTTTTAACTACCGCAATAAATATTTAACAGCAAACAATTTAACGATTAACTCAAATAACAATGAATGTTTTGAATGTAAATTTATTTTGAAAAGTTTGATGTTTTCAATTGTTATTTTATTATTAATTTTAGTTCAATATTATTTAGTAAAAAAAAGTATATATATATATATTTTAATTTTTTCTGAAGTTTGTTTTTGAATAATTATTGTTTATAAATCGTTATTGAATAAAAAATAATGTTTTATTTTATTTTTAAAAATTTCTGGAGTAAACAAAAAATATTAACATTGATAAACAAAAACCCTTGCTAATTATTTAAACAGCAATTTTATTTTGACTAGCAAAGAATAATTTAGGTTTTTAAATATTTTTTAAATTTATCTTGTTTGCAGTTTCAACTTGCGTTATATAAAAATATAAATAAGTTTTTGAGCATATTTTTGATACATAATTTAGAACACGTTCGCCAGGAATTTAATTCATAAATTCTAAATGTTATTGTAAAAATGTTTTACATTTTAAACAAATCACCAAGAAACAGAGCTATAGAGAAAAATCTTTTTTAAAGATTAAATCTTTTTTTTTTTTTTTAATTTTAGGAAATTTAAAAAAAAAATTAAATTAAATATAAAAGACTTGATTATGCGAATTCTTTTGTTAATTATTCTTTAAAAAAAAAAAAAAAAAAAAACATCTACACAAATTTTTAATTGTGCAAACTTAAAAAAATACTCAACATAATTAAAAAAATACTCAAAATAATTTAAGTATATTTAATAATTTATTCAGTATCTGTTTATAATAAACGTTTGTAAAAATTTGTTTGTTAAAAATTAAGTTCCTTAACTTATAAACAAACTCAAAAGTATTTTCATTATACATAATTACAAAACTCTTTTTTTTATCATTTGTAAGCAATTTAACTTAATAGAATAAAAAAAGAATAAATATGAGGTTAAGAACAAATTTAATTTATTTATTGAACTATATATATATATTTTTATTTATATAGCAACTTAATTAAAATATAGTAACATTTTACAATATTTCAACATGACTTGTGTTATTTATAAACCGTAGGCAGCTGCCCTTACGACACCATTGTTTTTGGATAATATTTTATTTTGATGAAGATCATATAACTTACATTTGATTTTAATTATGTAAGTCTTTTTCTGTGAACATCGCATCGACAAAGCATCAGCAAAGTCCCAAGATTTAAAAATTTATAAAGTAAATCTTTTGTCCTTTAAAATACAATCTATGTTCGAACTTTAAACAATTTAGAGAGATTAGAAATATACAATGTTTTTATATACTCGTTTGTCTTGTTTTATAAAGAAAAATACATATTTATTAGTGAAAAATAGAGACTGTCATTAAACTAAAACGTGCCTTAGTATTTATTTAACAGAATCTGTAATGTGCGCGTACATAATGAAACCTTCGTTATATAAATATATTCAACGTAATACCAGTGTCATCAGCGGATGTTGTAGTCTACTCGTGATTTCTTTACCTTATAATATAACTTGATTTTTGAAAAAAACTTATTGAATCGCACACAGAAGAAATTTAACAAATTGTCTTTATTCAAAAATTGCGAGTAACAGGTAAATTTTTTTTCTGTGCCGGCCCCCTCTCCCCGCATAACTTAAAGGTAAAGGTATCTATATACTTTTAATTTATAAGAAAAGCAAAGAGTAATAATTAATGAAGTAATTTTTAGAAAAATGCAAATAGTTGTTCATTCATTGGAACATTTTTTTTAATATCTCGAAAAAATGTCTTGATATTTTTGTTTTTATGATAACAAAAATATTAAGACATTTTTTGAGATATTAAAAAAATGTGAATCCTTAATTACAAATTTTTTTGCAAACGTTTTTTATTATAAATTCAGTAAAAAAACTCTTAAAAATCTATATTACAAAAAACATTTATATTCAGTATTAATAAATATGAAATATAGATTTTTTACAGTTTTTCACTAAAATCTTTAAAAAATTACTACTTTCTATTAAATTGCAAATATTGCAAAAAATTTGTAGTTAAGGATTGACAAACAATTTTTCATGTTGTTAAATATTTGGATAAAAAGTTTAGCGTAAAGTTAATTGTTATAAAAAGGTAAGATATATCGCGATGAAAAGTTACAACAATTATTTTTAACGTAAATTCTTTTTTGTAATAAATATCTTTACATATCGTTATTTAAAAGTTAATGTGGTTTTTTAAAAAATTAATTACTTCTTTTATGTTACCGCTAATTTAAAGTTAAAAAATGATAAAAAGTAGCTTAACCAAAACAGCTCTACACGTACGTAAAAATCGCTTAAGGCGTATGTAAATCGCTCTAGGCGTAACGCTTTAAAACAAGGCCTGGTACGTCACAACAACTTTAGAATATCTACTTCGATTTTCAAGTTAAAAAACAGTCGTGATTAAATAGTTAAGTTTTGATCAAGTTTTTTTTAATTAGTTTTGCAAAAACAGTATAGTAGAATCCGGTTGAAAGATGTCGTTAAAAAAAAAGTTATTAAGTAATAATTTTAAATAGTTTAGAACTTATAAAAAAGTCTTACAGGGCTCGTATTAAGCATATCATGATTGCGATTGCTTTTTACTTTAAAAAAATCTTTTCGCAATTTTTTTTTTTTTTTTTTTTTTTTTTTTTTTTTTTTTTGTGTGGTTGTTTTAGCATTTTTTTTAGCAATTCTTAAAAGTAATGTTTTTATCATAAAGAATGTCACACAAAATTTATTATTCTGAATAGATAGATGAATAGATGATTTGCTCTTTCGCATGGAGATTTTCTTTCAACGTAAAACATTTTTGAATTTAAATTACTTTAAATCTCTGCGTGGAAAATTTTTACAAGGTCGTTAAAGCGAAAAGTTGGTTTTTATCTTTGTTTATCAAAACTTCATGTTTAAAATAAGGCTTAAAAACGTTATAGCAAAAAAGTTACTGACTCATTTACATTTGTATACTGTTTGAAAAAAAATTAATAAAAAAGAATTAATTATTATTATTATTAATTCTGATAATTATTAATTAATATATTATTAGTTAATTTTTTTTTTTTTTTTTTTTTTTCAAACTATAGAAATGTTAATAAAAACAATATTTTTACTTTAACGTTTTTAAGCCTTATTTTAGACATGAAGTATAATTCGATTTATTAAACCAATTTTTTTTTTTTCACTTTTTATTGGAAAACATTTGAAAAACTTAATTATATTTAAACTTTTATTAGTCCTTTATTCAAGAAACAAATAATTATAAAAAACGTTGTATCTAATTTTTTATTAAGTTTCTGACAAAGTTTTTTAATTTATTGACGATAATTTTTTAATTTATTAATTAAAGCAATTTCATTTATTTGCTTCATTTTATTTTAAATGCATTTTATGTTATTAAACTGTATAAAACAGCAACAAAACAGCGTCACGAAGTTGTTTTACATTCGCTATTTATATTTTAAAGACAACTTTTTG